CCACGGTAATGAAATCACGATATTTGCGCTAGAGAGCACTTGAAGCTTCTACTAAACCTATAAAAAATAACAGCAAGCTCATACAGCAAAACCTAGGACAAATAGGCAGACTTCTTGAAAGCTTAACAGCTAATGAACAATGTCATAATTGCTTGTACGAAACTAAAGTACGAAAACATATGGTATATGAGTGAACAAAATGGCACAGGTAGTTGCTGTTTTGGTTAAATGACTAGTTTAAACCCAAAGGCAACGATAAACAGCTACAATGCAATAGTGGGCAAAAAAGATTTATAAATCTTGCTAAATGTCAGACTTCAGAAGATTGGCATTGCATATCCAGGCTATGAAATTACGATCCCAAACAATAAAAAGGTTTACCATTAATGCACTAATAATTTAAACCATACAAGAGAAGCGTTTAATATTGTTCATCAAAATAAGTCAAATTCACTGAAGAAAAGTTCATATAATAACTGACAGTTCATACAATAACAGTTCAAGGCGGCAAAATATTTACCCGAGAAATGTTAACAATCTGTGAGCAAAACTTCGCAATAATTAATTTACATTCATTACAGCAATAACAGTCAATTCAAATCAATACAATAAACGCGTAGTGCTTAGTTCGGTACCAATGAACAAATAAGGTTAAAACTAGTATTTATAGAATCCTTCACCAGTCTTCCTTCCCAGCTTTTTCTGTTCAACTAGATTGTTAAGTAGGTCGCTTTGTTTGAACATAGGATCATCTGGGAAACGACTGTGCCATCCTAAGGCACAAAGATTAACATAAGACTACCTTATGTTAAGACTAACCGTCGATGATGAACTTGCATGTGTCAAGGCCTGTGTAATCAAACAGTTCAAATGGTCCCATCGGATACCCAGCACCCAACTTCATCGCCGTATCAACGTCTTTCATTGAGGCATCGCCCCTCTCCACCATTCGAAGTGCCTCCATCATGTACGGAATGAGCAAGCGGTTGACCACAAACCCCGGAGTGTCCTATGAACAAATATCAGCACAGCAAATATTAGAAACAAAGCAAATT